ATTTGAATGCAAATAATAATACTAATATTGATAATAATAATGATAATAATACTCATATTGATATTGATACTGATATTAATGTTGATACTAATATTAATACACATACTAATACACATACACATATTGATACTGATATTGATACTGATACCGATATCGATACTAATACTAATACTCATATTAATATTATTATTAATACTAATACCAATACCAATACCAATACCAATACCAATACCAATACTAATACCAATACGTATACCAATATTAATATTTATACCAATAGTCATACCAATACTCATACATATATTGATACATATACTGATACTGATACTGATACTCATACTTATACTGATACTGATGTTGTTATTGATAATGATACTAATAATGATAGTGATACTGATACTAATACTGATATTGATACTAATACTGATAGTGATACTGATACTAATACTAATACTGATACTGATACTTATCTCATAATAATACTAAGACTAATTCTAATACTAATACTAATACTGATACTAATACTGATACTGATACTGATACTGATACTGATAATGATACTGATACTGATACTGATACTGATACTGACACTGACACTGACACTGACACTGACACTGACACTGACACTGACACTGACACTGACACTGACACTAACAGTAACACTAACACTATTACTATTACTATTACTGATACTGATACTGATACTGATACTAATACTAATACTAATACTAATATTAATACTGATATTGATACTGATATTGATACTATTAATGATACTGATACTGATATTATACTGATACTTATACTGATATTGATACGGATACTAATACTGATATTTATACCCATACTTATACTTATTCTCGTACTCATACCCATACCCATATTCATACTCATATTCATACTCATACTCATACTCATACTCATAGAGATACTGATATTGTTATTAATACTGATACTAATATTCATATTGATATTGATACTAATACTAATATTAATACTGATACTCATGCATACGTAAGTAATGTTGACATAATTATAAATTAAACGTTTAAATTTAGTAATTTTGCTGTATAATGAAACTAATGATTATTTGTTTACTGTTAGTTGAATAAAATTATTATTCTTTGAAACAAATTAAAAGAAGATACATAAAGCATGTGTCAAATGTGGTACTACCACTTGTCAAAAATATAGTTTCCATTTAAACTTTATATAGAATCATATCAATTAATATCCATATTAATTTCCTTTTGTCTCTAACTCTTCTCTGTATATGATAAACAATAAAAATAAGTTTACGATTTATATACTTAAACATAAATTAAATATTGTGTCATATTGTGTGTGATGTACGCTTTACAATATAAAATTACATAAATTATGGAATATTATTTAGCTTTCATGAAAATAAATCATTACAGATTCATTTATAAAATATAATTTAATTTGGTTTTCAATCATTAATAGAATAATATTAAAGAAATTTGACAAAGTATCAACAGTAGATTATTAGGTAATTATTAACAAACACAAATATGGAACAAATAAATTAAATATCATAATATATTTTTAGTGAATTTTTTTGAAATAAAATATTTAATTAGTGATTGACAAAAAAATGTATCTTGAAATTGAGTCGGAATCTTTACATAATTGCATGTTTACAATAGTTCGCCAAAAAATAAGTAGTTTGAATAAGACATAAAAAGTTTAAATTACAATGCTTGATATAAGCATAATAATTTGAAATTACCAAAACCCGACCTAGATGAAAAACCCACTACAATGCTTGATATAATACATAAACATTTAGAATCACAATTTGTCTACTATATTCTTCAATTGAATAATCTTCTTGGTTGGATACACCGGTGTCCATGTAAACTAATTCATTGTAGAGTTTTAATGATTAATTTGTCGTATATTACACACATCTTGCCGAGATTCTGGAAAGAAAAAGAAGAAATGAAAAAAAAATAACAACAGTTAACAATAAGAAATGAACATCAACAATACTGAAAAAATGGTATAACAATGAAAAGAAAATATCAATAATAATATAAGAAAAAAGAAGAAGAAATCATAGTGAATAACAATAAAAAAATTCATAATATTATAATAGTTACAAACCACAATATATTTTTTTACAAAAAATAAGAAAGACATAATGAAATGGAAAACAAATTAGAAGAAGAAATGGAAAAAAATAACAACAAATAATAATGAAAAATAAATCAAGAAAAATGAAATAACAACGAAATCCAATTAATGCTTTCATCAAGAACAAAAAAAATTCGATTGAGAAAAACAACATAATAAAATATGAAAACAAATCAAACAAAAATATTTCGGTGGGTTATGGGCGGGCAATGTAAAAATATGAGTTAAAACAATAGACTATTTATAGAGTTTAAGATGTGATGTAAGAAGATCTTTTTAGAATCAGATATGTTAGGCAACTATATTAGAGATTGATATTAATCTAATTAGGAAATTAATCGCTCACATTTATTGTTTGATTGATGATTTATTATGCTAAAAATCAATCAAAAATCGTGATTGGTGTATGTAATATATGGTAAATGTTGGTTATTGACATAATTATTCATATTACTTAATTTTAAAATCGGATGTAAATTATTAGCTATGGAAAGTGAGTTGCGTATAATAAACATTGCATGCATATAGAAAAGGAAAACTTTGATAAAAAAGTATATTTTATAAATAAAAGAAATTAAAATGCCAAAGTGAACGTAAATATTTTGGGGTAAAAATTAAAAATAATAATTCATAATTGTGAATATAATATTGTCTTCATATATTATATGTATTTCTTTTAAGAAAAAAAAAACACATGATTGTATTTCCATTTACAACATAACAAAAAACGTAATTAGTGAATTGAGCCAAACATTGTGTGAATTTATTAAAATAATATATTCATATCAAACATTAATCATTCACTTTATTATTACAATTTTCCTTAATTATTCAATTTACTTTAATTAACTGAATTATTAATTATAGCATTACCATTAACATAACCAATTAAAAATAGAAAATATGCATAAACCATTAATTTTAGTTGGTAAAAAAATCCGGTCATTGATGCAAACTAGTATTCACCCGTGCGATGCACGGGGTGACATGTTTTCAACTGGAAATACATGTCTGAAAAATAAATTTACGCATACATAAATTATTACGCTCATTGAATTTAAATACAAAAAGCGACCAGCAATATTGAAGCATCATGTTCTTCATAGTTACATCATAAGAATAATATTAAAATATTAGTATATCGTCAAAAATAAATCTTAAAGATAATAAAATTTGCACTGAGCATCCTAGGGATATGATTGAAAATAACATCGCACGGGGGAAATTATATAGAGAAGAAACACCTGCCAAAGAATAAGTTGTTAAAAAAAAGACATGTTACATGAATAATTGGTAAATATGAAAATATTCTCTACCTTCAAATTCGATGAAATACTTCCTTGTACACGACATTTCTAGTAACATTGGTGAGTTCACTCGAATCCAACTTGATGAATATCTTAATGCCACCTCTGCTCGTAACTCTGGACAGTGCAACATATAGTTGATCATGGCTGAAGACATGCTTAGGAAGATACAAACCAACATGCGAAAGAGTTGACCTTGGCTTTTATTGATCGTCATTGCAAAAGAAACAATCAACGGAAACTCTCTTCTCTGAAATTTAATTGGCAGTCTGGTAGATGGTATTAAAGTCATCCGAGGAATGAACACCATGTCACCGATATTTTTTCCGGAAAGAGTTTTGCAACTCAGAACGTGAATGCTAGTTCTAATAATTTGAAGTTTGGTCCCGTTACACAATCCTTTAGCTTGATCGATGTTTCTTATTAGCATAACGGGTGCACCAATCTTGAACTTCAACGCATGAGAACGAAGTTCAGAGCATCTTATTGTGTTGAGGAATTCAGTCGAATAAATTTATGCATTATCCTCCATTGTTTGCTCGTCCCTAAACATACTATCTGAGCTCAGGTACACCTTCTCCTCTCCTGGAAGGAGAGACATTAAGTGATCGTTCACAAACTCGACGCATTCATTAGTTGGTACAAGAATTGCTCTCCCTTGAAAATAATCTGGATCATATATGTTACTCAACAATCCGGGTAAACGAATTCCAGTAGGTCTCTGAATGGATCTTCTGAATCACCAATCAACATGTCATCGGGAATCACTATCGAAGCTTCACCATGATTTTGTTCCCCAACATCCTCACTACCAACCTTCAGTATCCAGTCTCCAAATTCTTTTACCTCATCCACGTTAGATGGAGAAGAGCATGACTGCAATCTCATGTTCTTAATCAACTTCATGACACGACAGAAATTCCACAGCGAAAAGGAGTTTATCGTAGCATGTACTATGTCCTGCCTTGATGCTTTGAGCACAACTGGTAAAATCTGCCTAAAATCTCCTCTAAAAACAACTACCTTTCCACCAAAGAGTTTTTCAACCTGTAATATTGACTTCATTGTCTTGTCAAGCGCTTCAAAACAGTATCTATGCATCATAGGAGCCTCGTCCCATATAATAAGCTTTGCCCTTATGAACAACTCCGCCTGTGGACTTTGTTGCGATATGCTACAGGTGGAACTCTCGTGTACATTTATGGGTAGTCCGAATCGAGAATGAGTTGTTCTTCCACCGGGGAGCAATAACGATGCTATACCACTCGATGCAACGTTAATTACAATCTCTCCCTTGGAACGAACTGCAGCCGAAAGAGTTTACCCATAGAAACGTCTTTCCCGTTTCACCATGGCCATATAGAAAGAACATTCTACCACGGTCATTGGATACAACATCCATGACTACATCATAAAACTTTGTTTGCACGTCTGTAATTCAAGCAAGACACCGTTGAAGTTCCCTACCCATTTCAAAGCGGTCGTAATCCAGTTCAACTAACACCAATATGTTTACTGTGTCATCAGCTGAGAATTCGATTGGAACTGGCATGGGCGCGTAATTTCGCAAGCTTTTACCATTGCTTTGCAATATTTTTTCTATTTCGGTGAGAGTATAGTTCTTCAAGCTTTCATCCGATATATGTAAATTTTCAAAAAAAAAAATGGATAAATTATGTGCATTTAGTTCAAAACGACAATATTAAAAGGATGAGTAATATTTAAAATCTAATTGAATAATGTGTTATACAAATTGCCATACGTAGATTATTATGAAGACTTTGTTGTTTGTAAGCAATACCCTCAGCCAGATCCAACCAACAACTTTGTCAAACATGTTCGGGCCGACTTAAGCTATTGGAAAGAAGCATAACTACAAATAACCTTCTTATATAATCCCTCGGTGCCCAAGTATTCACTTCTATTAATGAATATATGTATTCTTTGTCGTTATCTAATAAACCCAACACATAACATGCATCCCTGAACGTAGGGTAGACGGTGTCAAAAACTTTTCTGATGTCCTCGTAGCACGTATATCCCCTCTGAATGTTAAGTAGCAATCTAAGGTATTAGTCTTTCCCCTTTCCAGGGGGAACATTCGCAAGCCTACCAATAGAAAATCTTTTTTTCCTTGGCGCCCAAGTTCGAGAATCCTCTTTTAACCCAAGTTTGCAAACCTCCACATTGCCTCACATTGCCTCACATGCCGAAAGATATCTGCAGTCGTAGTACATCTTTATCTCATCACAAATCTCAGCACCGCCATCTGTATTGCGTGTTTCATAAAATGCCGCCGTAACTCGGCCATGCCCCTTGTTTACGTATTTGAACATGTATTTGATTGACTTGTTCTGCTTGCATAACTCGATATTAATGTGAGATCGGTATTTACTCAACAATATACGATTGTACGGGACTACAAACCATTGTCAAGAGTAGTCTTCTTCTTCGTAACTGTTCTGCCATCTTCCATTCTCCTCAGTAAAACCATCTGCATCTGATTCAGTGCGCTGCACAAATGGCTTTGGAAATCGCTTCGTGCAAACTCGATCCTTCATACAGGGAGATTTCAAATTCGCCTGACCGCACGGTCCATGTATCATATACTTCTCCACCAACTGGTACATCTTTCGGTCGTTTACTTCGTCAGGATTTTCAGCACATATGATCCTATCAATTTCTTCTGGGTTATTGGGCTTATCGTCATTATGAAACTACAATAAAATATGTGCATGCGGTAGACCTCGTTTCTGAAATTCAATTAAGCATACATCTGCATAGAAAATATAAACATATGTTATTAAAAAAAATATGCATTAATTTAGTTAATGAAGCAATAAGTAGTTAAACTCACACATGAGCAAATTCTTTAATTTATATGAATGAAGTATATGTATAATTATAAACTGAGATCTAATTAAATACTTACATGTTGTAATACGTCTGAATATACAACCTTTCTTGATTTATGTCATCATACTATCGAGCTTCATCTTGAACACACGACAAAGAATGTCTGGCCGATCCTCCGGCCTGAGATTTGTATCTTTCAACACCCTTTGTATTTCTGGCCATTGAGGATTGCATGTGATGGCAATGAAGAGGGTTGGAGATCCAATCCAGTTACATATTTGAAGAGCATCAACGAAGTTGTTAAACATATACCTTGGACCTGCGGTGAACGACCCTGTAATTATAATGCGTTGTCCAATTGATTTACCCTCAGTGTATCCTTTAAAAATATTTTCTTCGATACCCTTGTACATGTCAACCCTAAGTTGATCTTGATTGAACCTTATGAAATTCAACCTCTGTGACTCTACCATCGAAAATACATCAACACAGAACTGCTGAAATAACTTCTTGAAATGCAAAAGTAACAAATGTTATCAACGCCGTTTCTGGATTAGATATGCAAAGAACTCTCGCATGCTTACCTTCCTCCATTTTCTATTATCAGCAAGCGAAGATTCTCTCAAACAGATATCGTCTCGATAATCATCTTCCCTGTAAGGAAATAAAAGAGGATACTGTAGAGGCAAGTAAAGAGGATGGAGCTCACTGATTCGTTGAAGCTTATTTGAGCGTGTCTCAGCTACAATATCCCTAAACGCATGTAACGAATCTAATACAATGCAATTGACCTGCTATTTTGTACAATGATTATACAAAATAAGTAAAACGTTACCAAAATAATACAAATATAAATATTTAATGACATAAAATCATTCTACAATTTTTAAATTACCTTGATAAAAATATTGAGTGGAGCCCGTAGCAAGTTCCTAGTACAATGCAAATTAACCTACAAATGAGGAATGCCAAAACATATAAGTTATACAAAATAAAGGTCATTATGTAAAATTTTATAAGATTTTATATAGTTACCTTCATATATGCCGAAAAACATCCTTGTACCACATTATTTGTAGTTGGTTGTATCGCCAGATTCCGACGTGATCAAAATCCTTATGCCACTTCAACTATTAACTCTCGAGAGTGCGACATAGAGTTGTTCATGACTGAAAACATGTCTGAGCAAGTGCAATACTACATGGGAAAGAGTTTGTCTTTAACTTTTATTGATTGTTATTGCAAAGGAAACCATCGCCGAAGACTGACGTTGCTAAAATTTAATAGGCGATGTAGAGTTGGACGGTACCAATATCATTTGAGCAATGAACGTACACTATATGGTCAACATGTTTATCGGGTAGTGTCTTGCATTTGAGAACGTGTTTTCCCATATTAATAACCTGAAGCCTAGTTCCACTGCACGATCCTTTAGCCTGATCAATATTTTTTATGAGCATAACGGGAATACATCTTTTCAATGCAACCTAGGTGGAATTCTGGAGCACGATATGGTGTTGCGGAACTCGGATCTATGATATTAATTCTTCATTGTACACACTATCGGAATTCAAATAAACCTTCTCTTTTCCAGTTATGAGCGACAAAAAATGATCATTCACAAAACCGACACTTTCATTAGCCGATGCAATAATTGTTATGGCCTCAAAGTACTCAGGATTGAACAGGTTGCTCACCATATCCAGGTAAACAAACTCTATAAGATCAAAAAATGGATCTGCAGAATCACGGATAAGCATGTCATAAAAAATTTCAATTTCAAAATTATTTTATTAGTATTAGTCTTAGTCATAATCATCATACTAATACTAATATTAATATTAATATTAATACTAATACTAATACTATTACAAATACTTATACTAATACTAATACTAATACTAATGCTACTACCAATACTAATACTTTAATGCTAATATTAATGTACTAATGCCAATACTAATGTACTGATACTAAAACCAATATCAATACAAATATCAATACCAAAACCAATACTAATACCAATACAAATATCAATACCAATTGTTTTATTAGTATTAATCTTAATCATATTCCTCATACTAATACTAATACTAATACTAATACTAATACTAATACTAACACTAATATTAATACTAATACTAATACTAATATTAATACTACTACTAATGTTAATACGTTAATGCTAATATTAATGTACTAATGCCAATACTAATGTACTAATACTAAAACCAATAGCACGCAAAAAAAAATAGCAATACCAAAACCAATATCATTACCATTACTATTACCATTACCTTTACCTTTACAAATATTAATACTAATCTGATAATAATACTATTACTATTAGTAATACTAATGCTACTGATAATCCTAATATGCTAATGTTAATGCTAATACCATTGTCAATATCAATTATAATCGTAATCATAATCCTAATGCTAGTGTTAATGCTAATCCTAATCCAAATACGTTAATACTAATGTCAATCCTAATATGCTATTATTCACATTAATCCTAATACGCTAATGCTAATATATTAATGTTAATTCTACTTCTACTTCTAATGTTAATGGTAATCCTAACCCTAACACTAATGCTAATGCTAATCATAATCAAAATTACAATCCTAATATTAATTCTAATCATAATTATAATCATAATCTTAATCCTAATCATAATTATAGTCCTAATCATAATGCTAATCTTAATTTTAATGCTAATTCTATTCATAATAATAATACTAATCATAGTTCTTATCCTAAAAATACACATGCTAATGATAACGCTAATCTTAATACTAATTATATTATGCTAATGTTAATGCTAATCCTAATCCGAATCCTAATTCTAATTATAATGCTAATATTAATACTAATTCTACTAATTCTAGTCATAATGCTAATCATAATACTAATATTCATACTAATAGTAAAATCCTAATGTACCTAATGCTAATGTTAATCCTAATGCTAACACTGATACTAATACTAATATTAATACTTATATGATAATGCTAATTATAATTCTAATTCTAATTCTAATATGCTGATGCTAATATGCGGCTTAATCCCACTTTGCACCCTTGAAATATGCCATTTTGGCACTTTGCACCCTCGAAATAAATTAATAGTACTTTGCACCCTCGAAACATAATAAATCATGCATAATGCATCCCAAATAAATGTTTAAAGCTAATAAATGTAATTTAATATTTTTAGTGGTAGTTTTTAGGATGACAAATGTCAAATAATTTTTTTTATTCATCAATCATTTTGAAACTATAAAAGTGCATAAATAAAAATACATCTCATCGACTTATTTAAAAATTATATTTTTTATCCCAATAAAATATTTTATGAAAAAAAGAATCCTTCATCTATTTCGTTATCAAGTTATCTGAAAATCATATTTTTTTTCCAAATATTTTTACTTCATATTTCCACTAGTTACAATAAAAAAATCCATCAATCGAATAATTTAGTGATAAAATTTTATTTTAGTTTATTTTGTAAGAAAATATAGTTTTTTCCAATAATCAGGTGTTTTTTTTTTCCTGCACTTTTTGCGCTCGAAATTAGGTTGGAGGTTGAAGAAAATAATAATTTATGTATTATTTTGCATCCCTGATAAAAAAAACAATAAAGAAAATTTCCTTCATTATTCAGTTCAGGGTGCATTGTGAATAATTTATTG